TTTATATGCATATGTATACGTGTGCGTACATAAGATATAAAAATTACAAAACATTTTATTGTTTTAAAAGTTCATATCCATATTCTGAAATGAATTATATATATATATATATATATATATATATATATATATATATATATATAAATTTAAACCCGAAAAATAGATCGTAACCCCGCACACAAAAACACACACAACATGCATTCAATGGTGACCAAATATAGAGTGATCAGGTCGCTCACATACATGGACGCTGCCTCATATACAGGAGACACGAGGTTTATATATATATATGTATGTATACATATTTATGTATGTATATGAGGATGTTGACAACTTAAGAAGTACGTGTGTGTGCGTGCGTGTGTGCTGTTTCCATGTAGCTTAGGAAATATGTGTGTGTATATATGTGTGTGTACATCAGTACACACACAGACACACACACACATATATTGGGATAGATAGTGTGTGCGTATGTGTGTGTATGCGTGTATTGTACAAATAAATTTACGAATTCCTCGTAGTAAGAAGTATTATATGTATGGAGGGAAATATACGCACGCATATATACACGCATGCTGACAGAAACACACCAAAATGGAAACAGATCCAAGAACACATAGGGGTCAGTAAAACATTAAAACATAAAATGCCGATAACTAATTTATCATCTCGCTGGACCAACCTTAATTGTTTTATGACCCTTCGCGCAGAACTCTTCATTGCCAATTCAAGAAAGAAATTCGGATTAAAAACACACAAACAGAAAATGTCTCATATCGAGAATATTTAACATTGAACATGAGGAAAAATTAATTATTTTTTAATAATATGGAAATCTCCACTTTTACCTGAAGACGGTCATGACCAGAAACACGTGTCGTAAAATTATGTAAAACAAAGCATAATATTTTTTCTAAATAAATCCACATTACAACCAAAAACGTTTGCGGCACCTCTCTTCTCTTCTTTTTAATATACATACTTTTCTCTCGTTGGAACCACTACATTATATTTCTGCATTTTTGCATTTAACTATTTTATCTATCTATCTATCTATCTATCTCAACATGGGATGTAGTAAATAATAAAGACTTGCTTACCTTGGAGATTTTTGCAACACAACTTCTCTCTCTTCTGGATACAATCAAAATGTGGAAACGTACAATGTTTTTAACGATATATTTTAGTTATCGATTCAGTAGTCTCTAGATGGCATGTGGAAAATAGCTTTATTTTTTTGAAAACTAAAATAAATATATCCAAATACTCGACAGCTGTAATTTACAATCAATTGATCCATTCCAAACCAATAAAAAAAAATAATCACTTCATTTCTTGAACGTTTGCTCGTTAAGCAAATTTAATGCAATTCTTGGTGTAGTTATTTTTTTTTGAATTGACAGATAACTGTCATAATATCTTACCGCCAGTCACTGGTACTGAATTTTGGCCGATAGAGCAATCAAATATCCGGAAATGAGATTAGGAAGATTGTGCTGCACCAGTATTCCAAATCGGGTAGATATATTTTGAGAATCATTCGAATTGTGAACATTTTGTTTACATACACTCGAACACCAATCACTGGCAACTGTGGGAAAACTAAATATATTTCAGCAATTGCATTTAATATGCATATTATATTTTTCTACAAATATTTTCATGGCAACTGCTCTTACGAGATTTTTTTCCTGCCACGACCATATGAATTTAAACGTGTTACAATATTGTCATCTAGGTCCCATCCGTTTACTGTTGAAACCACCACTTCTACTCCAACAGTTTCTTTTCTTGAACTTCCCACCTGTGGAATTCCCTTCCGTTTACTTGCTTCTCTGATAGCTACAATTTAAATGCAACGTGAATCGCTATCTTCTACCTTCTTGAATCTCGCTCATCTTTTGTCTTTTCCTCTATCTTCCCCAATAATCAGTTTTTTTCTCTCGATTCCACTCTCTGTAAACCTCTGCGTACTAGTGGCATTCTTACCTTGGTTTAGGGCAGACATGTCCAAAGTTCGGACCGGAGGGCCAATTACGGCACGCGGTCAAATTTCATATGGCCCTCATAATCTGTCATAGAATATGTCACAAACTGCCAGTATTGTCAATCAAAGTGTGAAAAGTACACACCTAAGAAATTAAATTTCATGTTTTAACAAAAGATGGAGTAGCACTGTGTGGTCGCCTTCTGGAGGTGTGACCCTGACCTTGGCCTTTTCCATCCAATTTCTAAAATCACCACCTTTTAATCAGACCTGGCCTACATACTGCAGTCCAGATCCCAGTATCACCCTTCACATCAGTGCAGTCAAGTTATTTGTTTTGGTCATCTGAGATGAATAAATTCTAAAATCTTAGTGAATTAAATTTGTTTTGTGTTGTTCAAAATCAATTATAAATATATTTGAACACTTGGATTTGTGTCACTTTATGTTTTCTACTTCTTAATAAGATGAATGTTTGTATCATGTTCCTATTCATATGTTTTTAACTTTAAACTTGACAGACAACATTAATTATTAATAATATGTAATGTTTAAGAATTGCCTGCGGTATATTACAGCTCCCTAGAAGTACTTTTTTCTCAAACATATTTTAATTCATCTTATATGGGCTTCAGATATGGCAGGCTGAGTGATTTTGCTAAGACCTGTTTAAATTTATTAGTCATCCATGTAAAGAAATGAAAATATACCCCTTGCAATAAAATTTTCATAAGATAGTTCATTTGAATTTAATTTTAATGGTTCAAAGAATGCCAAGCAGAATGGTTGGCCTTCATGCATATTCACCTCATCAAATCTGGCCCTCTTTGAAAATAGTTTGAGTACCACTGGTTTAATGCAATTGTTGCTATAATTTTTGTTTCGAATTGACAGATAACTGTCATGATATCTTACCGCCAGTCACTGACACTGAATTTTGGCCGACAGAGACATCAAATGTCGGGAAATGAGATTAGAAGAAGGAATTTATTGATAAATAAGGAGGAAACAGACAATTCATGCCTTTTATTTCAGCGTACCCTAATCTTCTGTTATATTTCTTAATTATGTTTTTTCCTTGTCTCGAGTACGTTTAATGACATGCTGCAGTCAAAGAAATGATAGCCCTATACTTTCATTTCTGGACTTGTAAACAACCCGTGAAGAATAGTACCTGAAGAATCCTAGACTTTGTGATGCTGCTTCAGTTTCAGCAGCGAATAGCCATGTTCTTAAATAGTCAGATCGGATCTTCATATAGATGTCATGCATGGCGCCAAACAAGTTCTGAAATGTCTAAACTGTCAACTGTATACAACCGCTTTCTAAGGTCAATTGTTAAAAAAGTCTTTAAGGATAGGAAACAACGATAATACTTTTTTGAACATTGTGAACTGTCGCTACAGATTTGCAAGCAAAGAACTGTAGCAAATAGCAGAAACCATATCAATTGAAGACTGCCAACAGCAGTAACTACTAAACCGAATAGTTATGAAGTGAAACACGCTAAGGTTATGTACTATACAATAAACGTCAATGGTAACTAAGTTACTGAAATGTTTAAATATTTAAATATATATATATATATATATATATATATATATATATATATATATATATATATATATATGTGTGTGTGTGTGTGTGTGTGTTGGTCGTACCATGAGTAGGTTGTCTCGAAGGTTGTGTTTTCATTTGAATGATTCATCAAACATCTCTCAGCATTTACAACAGCATGCTTGTCCACATTCACAATTTAGGAAAATTCTCGTCAAAAATATATCTATAAGTTTTCATGAAAATAATAAACATGAGGTAAAAATATTTGAAGCTAGCTATATTCAAAAAATCAAACAAACCTTTAATAAAATTAATTATGAATACTGTTTTAAAATGTTTGCAGTAGATAGTTTAAAATATCTAAGGTATAATTGATAGTTTTAAAGAGTTGTTTTTTTTTTTTTTTTTTTAATATTTAGACATTTCAATAACTCAATTAACAGTTACCCCCTTGACGTTTACATCATAGAATTTAAAAATCGTATAGTACAAAACCTTAACGTTTTTTACTTCACTAGTAAAAATTTAATTTTCAGGTGAACACAACAATTTTGTCTTAGAAAAATGAACATATCAATTTTTTGTTTTAGAAAAAACAACACCCTGATGATGACATTATGCTAATGTCGAAAGTACGCGGATTAAAATGAATGTGCATCAACGTGGTAATTTTCTTGTTCTTAATTATTAGAGGATACTATTAAAAATAAGTATACAAAACATATCTAAATTATTTAATGAAAACATGCTGCGAAAATACATGCGCTGTCTCTGTCTGTCTGTCTGTCTGTCTCTCTCTCTCTCTCTATATATATATATATATATATATATAGTGCTCTGTATCGAATCAGTATATACCAGAGAATTTGCCAAGGAGCTTCCAAATTCTGAGTGGATCCGTAGACTCGTTCTCAAACTTGTCACATTCCCCTAAATTCATCCCCTAGAATACATACCCCATTTGCACTGCTTTGGATTAGATAAGATCAACATTTTTTTTCCAAATAGATTATTTCAATTCAAGTAAAATTTGAATCTGATAAGAAATAATTGCGAAACAATACAAAGTTTGTGAAGCTGTAAAATATTATTTTTTCTTTTCAGTACCTCGAATAATGAATAAAAAAATATTGGGTTTACTTGTTGTCGCGGCGATATTTGTGACACTATTTGTGAGTGGTGAGGCCAGGCGCAATAGTTGAGGCCAAAGAAATAGGATGACAGAAGGCAGAAGAGAACCTGAAGGAGAAGAGAGAAATCGCAAAGTCAAGGAAAATTGCAGAGTTTAGTGGTACAAGTCTTACTAATTAACCCATAGCTAAGAAAAGAAGACGTGGGTGCATACCTTTCCCAGGAGTATTTGCGCGTAAGTGAATATAACAAAATCGACATGAATTGGAATTCTGCTGCCTGATTAACAATTCTGAACCATTATACGTTGCGCACATCGAAGCTTACAGCACTTGGTATTACCCAAGCGGTCACCCATCTAAGTACAAACCAGGACCGACGTTACTTAACTTCGGTGATCGTATAATAAACGGTGTTTTACCGTGTTGTGGTCGTAAGCCGGGAGGAGGCGAAGATTATAAGAACAAGAAAGATAGATAACAATTGATCCATGATTGACGGGTTTAGGATTGTAGTTTTAGGAAAACATTCACGCCAGAGTAATTCACAAAGTAGCAGTTCTTGTAAAAAAAATATTTTCTTACATTTGGAATATGGAGGAAATTAGGATGAAGTAGCATAGCTTATCCTAGCTATAAAGGTGGAACTAAAGAATTTCCATTGAACTAGCAATAGAATAGTGATGGGCTTGCAATGGTGCGTTTATGGAAAAGAAACTGCAGAGTGTAGAATAAGTCTTCGCTCACAGGACTGTGTAAATGCCCTAGCTGTAAAGGTCTGAATTGGTGGAACAAAAGAATGGAGTTCATCTAAATATTTACCATGGAATGTTTTTTGTACGATAACAATTTATAACTTGGAAATAAATTTGGGAATAATCGAAATTAATTGCTAAATCTAGCGAAAGTCACCCATGAAATAAAAATAGTTGTCGGGAAGTCAGGACCTACGTACAAGGAATTGTCTTTAAATTAAGTTGCGGTAGAAGAACTTTTAAAAGGTAAGCTTTAAATATTAATACAATACTTAAATGCAGGGATCAATTTTGAGTTCTTCTGTAGTTTATTGGTGCCTATCGCATCTACTGATCCCTATCTATTCCGGGACGACTTGTTGCGGTTAACCATGGCCCCTGTCACTTTTTCGTACCGATCAAGCGCCTTCAGTACCGACTCAATGTCGCTGCGGGACGACACGAATGTAACGATCGGAACCTCGACGGATCTCTTCCTTGCTCAAACTTTCGGTAAAAACTGTTATTTTTATTTCATGGGTGACTTTCACTGGATTTCGCAATTAATTTCGATTATTCCCAAATTTATTTCCCAGTTATAAAAATTGTTATCGTACAAAAAATTCGACGCAAAAAATTACGTACAAAAAATTGCCGAAAACAATTTCAGTAATGTGACATAGAAAGAGAGAACCCCCCAACCCACCACCCCGAGGTGGATTTAGTAATCAACAGTGCTAAAGAATTAGGATGAAGTTGCTAATTACTTGGGTAGAAGGGATTCCGGAGTAATTCCAGAAATAAGTTAATTTTTTGTCTCTCTCTTGTTTTTTTTCTCTTAATAATTGTTTGTGGGGTTGAGTTATTAGTTAATTAAATGTAATAATTCCAGAGTGATTAAGAGACAGATTCGTTAAAGTAAAGTTTGTGATAAATGGCGAATTGCACTTTTGAGTGGTCTGAATGGCGGAATTCAACCAGACGGGATAAGTGGTTTTGGCAAAACTTAAGTATAGACGTTGTCTGCGGAAGACTCAGCAGGAGGTCCGAATCTGATTTTAGTATCTCTTGAAAACTGGGTTCCCGCTGAGTTTCGGGGACCAGAAAAGCTTGCATGGTGGTCAAAGGCGATTTGCATATTAAAATTTAGGGGCGGTGACTAAAGATGGTTTAGCTCCACCTCTCTCTATATAAGCTGCCCGCACGCTTGAGTTAGTCAGATCGTAGATCCGGGGAAGAGACGGCTTGTTGGAATTTGCTGGTCCGGTTGGTTGGTTGTCACTTGCCCAAGAGGTCCGATCCGAACCCAGAAATAGAAACAGACCCTGTATGAAACCAGTTAATGTTGCCAACAAAGCTGAGAAACGAAACTGCTATAATTACACGCTCAGACTAAGATCCCCGAATTACTTCCATTAGATCAGCCGAAATTGTTTAGGCAGAAATTTTCCTACTCTGTCACTTCCGACCCCAAACGAGTGAACCTCGTTACGACATTTTGTACTCGTTTAAATTTCTCGGTAGTGACATAAAAACAGTGGCTTAAAAAGGGCTCTTCGTACAGGAACCGAAAGAGTTGCTTATTTTTTCTTTTTCATGATTTTGCGGCTACGACAAGAAACATTTTTTTTGCATGAATAGTGATTTCCTTTCAGCGTAATACCCAGCCATTTCCTCCCCTTCCCACGGGACCGTTCTGGGGAGACCGATAGACAGCTGTTCGGATCAAGAATTCATAACGTGGCGAATAGTGGTGGTTCCTTCAGTTCACCGCGGGTGGTGGGATCGGGTAGATTCCTTTTTCGGTCAGAACTACCGGGGTGACAGGACATAGCTGCAACAGGTAGGGTTTATTACGTTAGAGGAATGAAAACTTAAGAATCCAAAATTTCAGGATTGTGAGTCTGGGTCCGGTTTGGAATATTTTTTAATTTGCTCGCAATGTCGGCCTGATTCCGAAATTATATGATATGTTGGGCTACGGCCTCTATGACATTACTCGTCCTCAACCATCCCCTAAATCTCTCACGTGATGACTCCAAGTTGCTTCATCTGGCGGGCTACTTGGTTGGTGTTAATACGGCACGGAAGTGCTCCTCAGATGAACTACAACGGCCACATATTCGTGACCAAGGCGAACTACCTAGTCTTTGGTCCAACCTGGAGATGGATGGGCTCCGTCTAGTTAAACACCCAAGACACGCCACATGATGAGCACACCAAGAAACCATTCGACGAGATCAAGGCTCTGGTACACGACCGCAACAGATGGAAGAGACTGTTGGACAGATCAGGACGTCAGCGGCCCAACGACTCTTTCCGGGTTTAAGGGCGAAAACCAAAGCCGTATATAGTACAAAGCCAGGCTGCTTCCAAAATCAACTTTTGAATTCGAGATTTTTACCTAGATTAGTTACAGAAGGGTGTCTTCCAAGGGCCAAGAAAATTAATATTTACACTATTTACATTCATCAGACTGTTGTCCCCATCTTTACTGTCACATTCACGATGTTTCGGCTGATGTACTGTCCGGTCTTCTTCGGGTGATATTTACTGGGTTTTGGAACCGAACCCTTTATTTAGTCCAAGGGGGTGGGGTGGGTAGATGGTTCTAATTCCACATGTCATGCCTTTGGATATCTCAGTTTTTAGTTAATTAGTCTTGATATCTCCCAAAGTTTTTCTATTCTCCGCTGAGACTGAACTGGGAATTAACACATGGACCAGTGGATAAAAGCTTTGGTTGATTGGTCTAAAAAGTGACTTAATTCGAAGAGTTATGAGTTCAATCCCTGACCTCAACGGAGAAAACAAAAACTTGGAGTTATCAAGGTGAATTAACTAAAACTGAGATATTCCGCCAAAAAGGCATGGCGCGTGGAATTAGAATAATCTACCCACATCCACCTCGTGGACTACATAAAGAATTCTGTTCGAAATCCCAACAAATATCACCCGAAGAAGACCGTATCGTACAATGGCCGAAACGTCGTAAATGTGACACTAAAGATGGGGACAACAGTCTGAACAATGTAAATATCAATTTTCTTCCCCGTTGGGAGACTGCCCTTATGTTGCTAATTTTTCAAAATCCCAACAAATATTACCGAAGCGTAACTCGGTCCAAAAGTATGGAGTTTTTGTGCTATAGTTTACTTGTCAGGTCAACGAATGGCAGTAAACAGACAGCTCTGAAGCGGATTTTCTGCAACAATTGATTTTGCCAGCCAACTCACTTAATTTTAGCCCAACTAATGAATACGAGTACTCGGATGAAAGACCTCCATTTGTAAGGTTGTCAGACCACATCACATCACCCAGAACGCGAGAAGTTTAATTCATGAAAAATTAGATTCTCTTAACACCTTTGATTATATAAAAAAAACACGAAAGCACATATTCCTTATATATCACTTATGTACGAATTCAGTTTCAATAAAAAATCTCTCTACTCGGTATCCTCATAAATAACCAGATCTTAATCATTTCAAAAAACATGCCATACAAAAACTCTAAAAAACAGGAAAAAAAACCCATAAAAAATAAACAAACAAAAAAGCAACCTTTCTTTTTAACTATCAAAGTGAATCCCCCACTACCGATACAAGATATTAATCATAAAACCCCCTTACCAACCGTGCTAAATTAATTTATTCTTCTACATTACGGCAATATTCTTTAAAAATATCCGATATTAAACAAACATTTCGTAATAATGACTCCCGATCATATAGTTGGTTAGCAAATAAAATTATTTGATCATTACTAGTAATATCGATCCATATTGGGTACATTATACAAAATTCGACATTGACATAACAAAGATTGATATGTCGTTACATCAGTCCTTTAATACTTTATTTCTTTAGCTTGCAAGAAAAAAAAAAAGAAAAAAAAAGAAGTACAACCAATATTATCTCCTGCTTTGTTAACTATAAAAGAGGTCGCCCTTATCGATACAAGATGGCAGCCAGGAACAAACCTTATCAACTGTAGTAAACTGGTCTCTGCCGCTACAAAATTATTCTGCAAAGAATTATCCAATATTAAATAATACAATATTAAAGAAACACTTAGTAATAATGGCTTTTCTAATTACAACTTTATTATCTCTTAATAATAATTATCAAAACTTGATAAGCTCAAAATGTGAAAAACACACGAATATTAATTCAAATCTCATTAACTATCCAAACGAATGCCTTTATCTATACAAGATGGCAGTCATAAAAACAACCATGTTAAATTAATCTTTTTATCTACATCTACAGAGAAATATCCAACATTAAACAAACAGGTAATAATGGCTTTTCCAATTACATCGTCGATGAACAAATACAATTATTTTTACGGACAAGTAATCAAAACGACATACATCATAAACTCGATTTAAATCACAACAAAAATTACTATTAACTCATTTTTATTGCAACCAGATGCACATCAGTTGCATAAAAGTCAAAAAGCCGATTTAAAAATCCATAGATATATAACTCCAGTAGATAGTAAAAGGAAAGGATATATATATATCATATGATTCAGGACGTAAATCTAATGCAGAGGATTCCGAAATTAGTACACAGTCCATATATTATCGTCTTAATAATTTATTTTCCTTGTCAATCAGAACAGCATTCTTTAAGTTGACCTTAAGATCAAACGTAAACGAACAATAAGTTTAACGAATGGTTTTTAAAAGATCCC